AGCATAATAAAGAGTCAAGCAAGAATGAGTTTTTGTTAATGGAACTAGAGATAATAATTCTCTTGAGCAGCCACCATGATAGAATTTGTAGAAAAGAGAAAGAGATGCAACTTTATGACAATGGGAAGGAGGCTCAAGCTTAGCAGATAGAGCTTGTTTAGAAGAAAAAGGGCATTATACGAAGAACCAGCCCAAATATGACAACAACATTCCATACAGGGGAAAAAAGATATTTGTAGAGGTAGAGAATGGAATCAAGGGTAAGAAAACGGCGATAATGATAAAGGGATGCTAATTTAGCAATCGATTGTATATTTTGTTTACATGAAAGGTTAGTAGCAAATAATATTCCAAGAAGATTTAAAAAAGAGGACTCAGTAAGAGGGTTACCATTAATTAATATAGGAATGTCGACAGTATTGTGGTAGTTGTTTGCAGTAAATAACTGAGTTTTGTAGGAAATAAAATTTATAAGCTAATTTAAGCCTCAATCTGTGAACAGATTAGGGGTCGCATATTTTAAAAGTCTTCTCTTTTTGATCGCTTAGAACAGGCAGCCAATTTTGTATCAACAGATACAAAATTGGCTGCCTGTTCTAAGTGATCAAAAAAAGAAGACTTTTTGTCAAGACAGGAGTAAAAACTTGAGTCATCAGCAAAAAGAGTTACTATAGATGTAGGGTTGTTGGGAAGATCAATAATGTAGATAAGAAACAAAACAGGACCAAGAATAGAACCTTGAGATACCCCAGAAGTTACTAGAAATAAATAAGTAGGCCTTTGACGATGATTATAATAAAGAAGTAGAAAGAAATGATTTAATAATCCCAGATACACGATTTTAAAGTTTCTAGTCTAATTTAAGTTTAATTGTTTAATATTTAGTTCATACTTAAGCTCATTTTCTATTCAACAGGTCCCTAATATTGTTTAAATGGTCCCTAAAATGTTTTATTAAAAAGTCAACTTATTACTCAAATAAAGAGAAATTTTACATAAATCTTTTCTGAATTAGAATCTAAAAATAGATTAATACAAAAAATAACCACACCACATTAACAACACTGAGTAGTGATTTTTAAAGCACCATAATATCTATCTGTATAAATATATATATATATATATATATATATATATATATATATATATATATATATATATATATATATATATATATATATATATATATATATATATATATATATATATATATATATATAAGAGAAAGGATATCTTTAAATTATTAAGTAAATTTTTTTTTCTTGTTGGTAATCAACAGGAAAAACAAAAGGAATTATGATTAGGCTCTCCAAACAGGGGGCAGAAATAAAACCTTAGTCACCCATTTATTTAAACCTCTGAACCAAATTAATAAAATGGAAAAAGATAAACAATTCTTTTGCCATAAGATTATGTCTAAAAATTGAACTTAAAAAACAGAGCATATTAAAGAATCTTGCAAGTGCTCTGATATAGTGTTATATAAAAATATCTAGATGAATAAATAATGCAATTAGAAAAAAAAAATGCTGTTAAAAATTTATTACAAATAAATAAATTACGAATCATCAGGTGAATGGGGTCTGGGAAACTCCATAAATAATAATAATTAGAAAATTTTTAAATTTTCCTTGAAATTAAGTTCAGTATAGGGTTTTTTTTTAATATGGGCATACTAGCAATATTTATTTTTTTGATATAACAAACAAACAGTGTAAGACTTAATTACTACATAATATACAAATGCTTAATTAAGTTAATAATCTTGATAGATTGCTTATTTTATTGAGCATTCGAAGTCTGATATTATATTTGCATGGTATTATACATTAATATATTTACATTATCAAAATTAAAATGGTAACTTTTATAGAATAAGAATAGTTTTTATATATAATGAGAGTATCACAGTTGATAGTACAACAAAACAAAAAATAAACATTTTCATACATTATGCCTAGATATATAACTTACATAAAGCTTATTTAAATTTTTTATAAAAAATTTATGTTAAATTGGTGTTTATACATCTAATTGTGCCTTTAATGGCCAAATACTAAAATTATACTAGAGTAAAGGAAAACTATTCCAAAATTTATGCCAAAAAAAGACTGAAAAATTGTTAAAAAAAAGCAATACAACACCAAAAAAAAAAAAAAAAAAACACCAAAAAAACGCCAAAAAAACCAAAAAAACACGTTTTTTTGACCCAAAAAAAACGCCAAAGGAAAAAAACGCGTTTTTTTGCAACTCTATAAATATATATAATATATATATATATATATATATATATATATATATAATATATATATATATATATATATATATATATATATATATATATATATATATATATATATATATATATATATATGTATTTAGATACATATTTATATATATATATATATATATATATATATATATATATATTTATATATATCCAATACGTCACTTTTGTATACATGAGTTTCATCTTTATAGTGTATGTTATATATTATTACAATATATCTTTTAAATTGTCATAAACATTTTCAATGTTCCTTATACATTGTTTCTTTTTAGGTAAAACAGTTACCATTAATTGGCGGTAAAAATCTAGCTGATACAATTAAAAATATTTTGTTCTTGTAAGTAATAAGCAAAAGTTTGAATTTTAACATTTATGATTGACAGTACAGCATTTATGTTCTTTTTTAAATATGCAGATTGCCAACAGACACTATTTTGTCAGAATACAGTATGAAATGTCTAAACAAGAAAAAAAAAGTTTAAAGAGTTGACAAGTCTATGTAATGCTGTCACTGGTATTCTTGTTAGCTTATTAATGTGTTTGATTAATTAAAAATTAAAAATGATGTTTTGATTTAAAAAAATATATTTTTTCAATTTCTTTGGCTATGGAACATGACATGTATTCAAGTGTATGTATACATGACATGTATATTTTATTTTATGATCTTATTGAAATACGTGTTGTTGTTTTTATTAGAAGCTGCTTTAAAGTCAAGTAAAAAGTTAACCAATATGGATGCCATCCAACTTATTGGGAGAGTAATTAGGCATTCTTCTGACCGAATAAAGAGAACATCCACTAATGTGGATTTCGATCAATGATGGCTTAATTAACTGTTGTATTTTTTTATTTTTATTTTACATTTTTAAGCAATTTTCTTCTGTTTTTAATGGACTATCAATTATATTCTACAGTACCTATTAGTTTTTAATTTGGAAAATGTAACTATGTTTGAAAAATTATTCTTATTTTTTGTAAAGTTATTAATTTATTTTAAATATATCAAATTACACTTTATTTACATTGATTTCTTTTTATAACTTCCTTTGCCTAGATTAAGGCAAATCTAAGGTGTGTGTTGTAAATAATTGCATTTTTATATAAAGAATGTCTTGGTAAAATTCTTGGTAAAAGATTGTCTTGTAAATTCAAACGTCTCTAGGACGTCTGTATAAAACGTCCTTTAGCCTTTCATATGAAACCAGCCAAAAACGTCTCTAGAACGTCTGCAAAAAACGTCTCTAGGACTCTTGAATAGGACGTCTATAGGACGTCTGGAATAGACGTCCTCAAGTCTTTCATTTGAGACCAACTAAGGACGTCTTACGGACAAGACTTAATACGTCTTACGGACGTCCTTAGGACGTCAAAATGCCCGCTGGGTATCAGTAGCAACTGCTGTGACAATAAAACCACACTTTGTAAAAATAGACCATGATTATGGACGGAATTCAACGAAATCAATAAGAAAATATGTTTTTTTTTAAGGTCAAGGCCAAGACCAAGGCCAAAACCAAGGCCAACAGTTTCAAGGCCAAGACCAAGGCCAAGGCTTCTATTTTTGGCCTTAAAGCAAGGCCAAGGTCAAGGGCAAGACTAAGGACTAAAAACTCTGGGTAAGAGTAACTTTAAAAAATTATTTTTTAATGTGACAACTTTGTTTTAATTTATTTCAGTCATTTATATAAGAAAATCTTTGGTTTGTCGAAGATTTTACTTAAACTTCTTACGTTATTTACGTTATCAACCTTATTTTTATTAGGTTGAATTTTTAAAATGCTGCTAAGTAATTTAAATCTTTTAATTTAATTCTTTTCAAATATTTTAGACGTAAAAAATTCTATCACAGTTTAGGAAGGAGATGGGGTTTAGGTATATGTGATCCTTTGTGACTGTAGGGAGCATTTACAAACAATTTGTTTTACTAAAACGAAAATAAAAATGGTTTTAACTGGTTTTTTTATATTAGAAGAATAGAAAATAAATCTTTTTTTTTTTTTTTTTTTTTTTTTTCTAATTAAAAATATTTATATTTTTCTTTATAAAATTTTCTAAATAAAATGTCTAAATAAAATTATTTATACAATTTTTATTTTTATTTATATATATTTATTTGTCAACCAATATAAAAATACATAAACAAATAAAAAAACAATGATATGAATAATTTTGATCAAACATTAAAAAAAAATTAATAATAATAAATTTTGTTTTTATATATTTAGTTTATTTAAATAAGTTTCTGTTAGACCAACATGACGAAATAAGAATTACATAATAGCGTAATTCATTTTGTTAACGAAAAAGCGCCAGAACTTGTAGTAAATGCGTTTAGTTTTAACTTACGTTACATAAATTTATATATATATATATATATATATATATATATATATATATATATATATATATATATATATATATATATATATATATATATATATATATATATATATATATATATATATATATGCTAATTCCAGTTTTTTTAGTTAAGAACTAGAGCTGTTAATCTTCTAAATAACGAGGACTGAATAATTGATAATTAATAATAGTATTTTTGATTCAATAGTTAATATTTGAGTACTTCATTGTGATAAATACCGTGAATAATTTAACTGTTCAAATTAGATGAAATTAACAAGTTTTTCATTAGTAAAAAACTAATTTTTAGTATAACATAATCCTAAAACTTCTCTTTAAATCTCACCTTGTAGTTCTTTTAGTTCGGCAAGCTGACGAGCAGATAAATCATCACTTTCAGCGTTGAAATTTGTTTTGATAGGAACAAACACACCACTAACTCCTGCATAGTCCAGGTCGTCTGTAATATCGACATACGCCTCATTGTACACCACGCAAACAATTAACAAAAAAATGTTTGCAATCATCTTTTTTAAATAAAAAAATAGTTATGGTATAAAAATTTATATATATATATATATATATATATATATATATATATATATATATATATATATATATATATATATATATACATATATATATATATATATATATATATATATATATATATATATATATATATATATATATATATATATATATATATATATATATATATATATATATATATATATATGAGAGATAGATAGTGTAAGAAAAAGAGAGGAGTGGAGTTTCTGTGGAGGATGGCAGTCAAAGTTAGATTATTTAGACTTTTTATAAAAAATAAATGACATCTTTAATTTATACCTTGCAAAATTCTTAGAGTTTATATTCTTAAATTAAATGTTTTTTAAAATACCTAAAATAAAGCGCTAAAACTCGTCACATAAATAAAAAAACTTAATCTCCGCACCTCAGCTGCACACACTTTTAATCAACTAATTTTTCATGCGTGTATTAAAAAAAATTATCAGCGGGTACAAAAGTTTTGCACACACAAACGGTACATTAAAAAAATCATTTCAAGTACTCATGTTTTACAAACCATGAAAAAACGTAAACTTAAATAAAGCAAACTAATTAATCACTTTATTGTTACAGCAGGTGTTGAAAGTTTGCAACCGCTAGGGTTGATCACACAAGAGTTTTTCATGAAACAAAGTTTATTTATTATTTTTTTTTTGTGCAAAAAAATACAATATTTTTTGGAAATTTTTTGAATCACTTTATGCAATAATTTGTATTTGATTAATATTTTATATAAAACATTAAATAAAGTATACCGTTGTACTGCTATAACGTACACTACGTTAAATAAAACTGTTGATGCTATCAGGTGCCTAAGTAAAAAATCTTTTCAAGCATTTCGAATAGAGCTATTTAAATAAAAAAAATGCCTTAACGGAATAAATAAAACTGACTTGAAGTTTTTTTTTAAAAACATTTTTTATATTCCCTTGCTCAAATCTGAAAAACCACCCAGTACCTTAGCACCTACAGGGGTGGATTCAAACCATCTAGTAAGGAGGAAGGATGGGTTGCGGTTTTCAGCTTTTTTATTCCTTTATCTAGGAAGAAAGACAGGCCTTTTGGTTATTTAATTTGGTGAATCTAAACCATTTAATAAAGTAGGGGAACAGTTTTTAGGTTTAAAGTTTTATGATTTGTAAGCCCACAAATAATAAAACATTTTAGTTATTTTTCTTTAGAATATTAATGTTTAGAATATTACTGTTTTAATCTATGTATATATGTAAAATTAAGTCATATATTGATATCCCAATTTCATATCAATTTTAAAAGCCTGTCTAATTTACTTGAGCTTTTAAGCAACAAGCTGAATTAAATATATAAATTTACAAAAACAAATTTTTTCTAAAATTTCTGAGGAGAGCGGGAGGGGGGGATATGTTTGTGATTGGATCTGCCGTTGGCACCTTTTTGATCATTTTCTTCTTTTGAAAAACTAAGTATCGAGTGTAAATACAATTAGGCGTGATTTTCTATCCCCTCTAACTTTTTTATCTAATAAAAAAAGCACAATCTTTAAAAGCTTAAGAAAACAAATAGCTTATAAAAAAAAAAAAATTAACAAATAGAAAGCTTTGTGTTAAAAGTTATATCGCTAAGTCGTTAAACTATTAGCCGCGTAAATGCGCTGCATATTGTATATTTGAAATGTTCTGTAACGAAAATGAATTTTAATTTAAATTGAAGATCTTAGTGCTAAAAGTACTTACGTCTAAGGTTAGATCTAAAGCTATTGTTGCATTTCTTTATCGAGCTTGCCACTTTCTTACTCGGGATTCTATTCTTTATCTCTACAAATCTCAAATCCGTCCTTGTATGGAAAACTGTTACCATTCTGTAGCGGATCTTCGAATGATGCCCTTTCTATTTTAAGGTGCAAAAACGCAAGTAACATAATAAATGTTTTGAGAAAATCTACTTTGATCAGAGATATCACTTTAAAATGAGGATTTAAAATAGCGGATCAAATAGATTTTTTCAAAACATTTATTTTGTGACTTCAGTACTTTTCGCGCTAACTTTTTAATTGTACTGTTATAGAATTAAAAAGAGCATCACTCTTGCTAAGCATTACATAATAGGACATAAACATTACATAATAGGACACACGTGTATAAATACACGTATTTGTATCTGAACATACAGGTATGTATTTATTTATAGCAAACTGTTTCATATTTTGACAAATTTTTTTTGTTTTTAGAAAATCAACAAAATTAAGGATTATGATTAAAGATTATGTTTAGTAGCCTGATCCTCCATTTTTCTCTGTATTAAAATTTTGTTATATAGAGTTAAACTTTCATATTTAAAATAGATAAATAAACCATTTTGAATACTATAAGTATGCTATAAATTGTAATGACAAATAATATTAAAACAATGAAAACAACAAAAAAAAAACAACAACATTCATTTAAAACAGATATTCAATATTCTTCCGTATTGTAAATAAATAAATTTATGAAAATAAATAATATATATATATATATATATATATATATATATATATATATATATATATATATATATATATATATATATATATATATATATATATATATATATATATATATTATGTAATAAATATTCTATGCAATAAATAATCTCGATTCGATATTTAAAAAATTATGCCGCGCATGGAATACTTGATCGCTTTACATCAGACAGCATCTTTTGAACTTTACCAATGCTCTTTGCAAGCTCTAATGTTGGTATATGATCGTCAGAAGCAACGTTAAGAAGAATCTAAAGAAATAAAAAAAGTTTCTAAAAACACTTACATTTAATGAAGTACATACTTGAATACAGTTAGCGTATGAGTATTGATGAAATTATTGTTAATTCCATCAAAAATTTATAGATTTTGCTCAACAATATATTGTTAAACAAAATGACATGAAAATGAATGTTTTACTTTTTAATATAATTTAATTTGTTTAGAAGCCAAAAAACAAATAACCTCTTTAATGTGATGCAAAGAAATGGAGCTATCTTTAAGTTTTTTTCTGTTAATTTGTGATTTTTTATCAGCTTTAACTGCAAGAGAATGCAAATACTTAATATACTCAGGCAGTTTTAAGCCACGATCACTTTCAACAGCATCATTAATAGTATGACGAACATGATTTATGCTATCACGTTTTCTTGCCTGGAAAACAATTGCTGCTTTTTGTATGTAACTTTTAATGTCTAAAAAAAGATCCAAAAAATAAAATTAATAAAACAGTAAATACAAGATACAAATTATTATATATAAAAAGAAACGATTATATATAAAGACAAACAATTTTATATAATGACAAACGGTTATATTAAAAGATAAACGATTATATATAAAGACAAATAATTATATTTTATAGGTAAAAATTGAGTGCAAGAAATAGTACAATAACTAATAATAATAATAATAATAATCTCTTTATGCTAGATTATCTATAAGTCAATAAAAGAGTGCATATACTAGAAGTCTACAAGCAAACATTTTATAGCGGAATTTTAGTGTACCTATATAGGAATTTTGAGCGGACCACTGTAGTTTTGCTCATTGGTTACTTAGTGGACCATTAGTGGCAACCACCAGAAGTGGCTAGCCACTATTAACATGTCGGAAAGTTATCGGCTTGCCATTAATAGCAGCTGCTACCAACGGTCCACTAAGTAACCGATGAGCAGAATTCCAATGTACCGCTAAAAAAGCCCTAAAACAATGTTTACTGGGTATATAGATTTTAATCAAAACATTGAAATATTATAAGTTTAATTTCTCAATAACACATCACAATATCACAAATATAATATTTAAATAGCTTATTTTAATAACATATCGCAATATCAAAAATTTAACATCAAAAAACTAGTTTGCTAATGTTATTTTATAAAAAAAATATGAAACAAAATTACCTAATTAAATTCCATCTTTATTTTTTAATTGACAACTTAGATAAAAAAATTTACTAAAAAGCAAAAATTATTTTTACCTAAAAAATTTATTTAGTTGACTCTTAAATATACTAATGTTAAATTTTAGCTCAAACTTTTAATACTTCCAGTGTTCACTTATATTAGCTTAAACTCTTATTACTTCCAAAGTTCACTTATATTAGCTAGTTCACTTATATTAGTTGTTAAAGTTTTATTACTTCCAGAGTTCACTTATATTAGCTTAAACTTTTATTACTTCACAGTTCACTTCCAGAGTTCACTTAGAGATGGTGTCTCGATAAAAATACTCATCTTGGGCAGATGTTAAATGCATTCAGCTGCTATTTTGTAGAAGGCCTCCTAGGCAAAGACTTAAGGGGTAAACAGATTTTATCTGTTGACCAGCCTCGCACCCCTTCTTCATCTATTAGGCTAGCGAAAATGTATTTTAATACATTGTTTCCAGTTTAGGATGTTGAATGCTAGATCTTCTTGACTCGATGCATGGGTTTTAGTTGTGTCTCTGTTTTTATGACTAGGCAACTCATTCTATTATCTCCTAATGAGGGTACAGCTCTAAAACTTAGTTTTAACTTTTTTTAGTTCAGAGAGGCTGATTCCATTAACAGCTGAAAAATATTAAAGTACTAACAGTGCCAAGTTACGCATGGATGGTGTCCCTGTTTGTACTTTTGGTGTGCTTTGCCAAGACCACATTGGAGCCCTTTGTTACGGTTTAGAGTTTATTAGTAGTAATGAGGCAATTGCTTGGACTATTAAACAGTGTACTGAGTACTATCTATGTTTCAAGTCAACTTCTTTAACAAATTTAAAAATGAATAAAGT